CATCTGTCCATGGGCAGGGACACCTTCCACCAGCCCAGGTTGCTCCAAGCCCTGCCCAACCTGCCCTTGGACACTTCCAGGGATGCAGGGGCAGCCACAACTACCGGGCACGATAAAAAACTGGAAGTACATTCAAAAAAAAAACCAAAACCCTGAGAAACACCAAAACCTGAGCAGCACCCACTGCCAGCCACACTCCAAATCCCCTGCTCAGGAGGGGCCCTGGGACAGGCAGCGGTGTGTGCCATCCCCACCTCTCTCGCTGGCATCGTCCACCAGGATGATCTCGCGGAGCAGGCGCGGGGGCGAGCGGTTGATGACGCTGGACACGGTGCGCAGCAGGGTGCTCCACGCCTCGTTGTGGAACACGATCACCACGCTCGTGTTGGGCAGCTCCTCGGGGTACACCTTCGTCTTGCACCTGCCCCAGACACGGCAAAGACCACGGGGAGAGGTGGGTTAATCTTTAAAGTACAGCCCTAACAACGGGAAAAGGGGCTGGGAAGCAGCCGCGGCACCGCCCCAGGGGAACCTGCAGGTGCTTGAGGAGGATGGAGATGAAGGGAGGAGGCAAACTGGAGCCACAGGGACTGAAACGCTGGCTGCTGTGACGTGAGGCTGCTCTGCATGGGAAGATTTGGCTTTTACCAACCCTCTGGAGGAAGTGAGACATCGATTAGTTCTCACTGAACTGCCTCACAGCGATTTTCCCAGGTCTCTGATTCACTCCAGAAGTTAAGCAGCAAAGATCAGTAGGAACACAAGCACACAGTGGATGAACCATCACTATTCCTCCTCTCAAAGCCATTCCTAATTTGTAGGAAGTGCAGTGGAAAACAAGCACAACCCAGTCAGAGGTGACTGATCCATACCCTGAGCTCCACCTCACTCCTGGCTGGGCACAGCCATGCTCTGCCCCTGGTGCTCATCAACCTCTTCCCAGTAAGGAATTTCCCCAATATCCACCTGCCCCTCCCCTGGCACAGCCTGAGGCCGTTCCCTCTCCTCCTGTCCCTGTTCCCTGGGAGCAGAGCCCGACCCCCCCCGGCTCCCCCCTCCTGTCAGGGATTGCAGAGCCAGAAGGTCCCCCCTGAGCCTCCTTTTCTCCAGGCTGAGCCCCCCCAGCTCCCTCAGCCCCTTCCCCAGCTCCAGGACACAGCTTCACCCTGCCCAGGGACTGTGAGCACACAACAGATACCACCCCTCACCGAAACCAAACTGTGACTCACAGAGTCATTTCTCCAATTCAGAAATCCAGCCCGTGTTGAAGAACTGATGGATCAGTCTCCCATTCCTCACAGGCTCCCAGACACTCAGGCTCCCTCCCTCCCACCTTGCACTGTACAATACCCACTGATTGTTAACTCACACAGCACTGGAATCACCGTCCCACAATCCCTGTTTGCATTCCTGCAGCCACCAGCTGTCACCTTATGAATACACATGAAGTCAATGCAGCTGTTTGAATGGTAGGAAAACATGTTTCCATGATCAGGGACATGAAAACAGAGCACAACTCTCCCCATTCCCATTCTTCCCACTGGGTGTGGGCAAATCGTGGGAGCAGCAAGGTTTGCACTGGGGTTTTCACAGAATCAGAGTCACAGACTGGTCTGGGCTGGAAGGACCTTAAAGCTCATCCAGTGCCACGGGCAGGGACACCTTCCACCAGCCCAGGCTGCTCCAACCTGGCCTTGGACACTTCCAGGGATCCAGGGGCAGCCACAGCTTCTCTGCCCAACCTGTGCCAGGACCTTCATCACCTTCCCAGGCAAGAACCTCCCAGCTCATCTCACAGCCCATCCCCTAAAAAAACTAAACCAAGCACAACAATTTAATTATTAAGGACTCGATCTTAGCAATGAAACTATGATTAAAGCTTTCTTGCTGCTGTCTGCAATTCCACAACCTCTTCCAACTCCTCAGTTGGACCCAGAAGCTCATTCCCACATTTCCCTCCAGGGGAAGTGTGAAAGCTGAACTTTGTTCCACACACCTGGTCAGGCTGAGAGCAGCAAACACAGAAATGCCCATTCCTGACCTGTTCCACACCAGGGAACCAATTTCATGCCTGGACAGCCCTGGCTGTTAAAGGAGAAAATGCATTTCCAGGCTCTGCAGGGTGGGCTCTGCTCCAGAGGGGCTGCAGCAGCCCAGGGGGACACAGGGACCAGCCTGGGATGGGCTGCTAAGGAAAAGCAGAGCTGATCCAACACTGGCCTCCCTCAAATGTGTCGATCCCACGTGTTTTCCTGAAGCCCATCCCACAGGACAAACGGACTTGTCCCAAAATAAAACCATTTCCCCTCCTTTATCTGGGCTGACCTGCAGCAACAACAAGCAGGGGTCTCACCTAAAGAATCTAACCAAGGCTTCCTGCCCTGAGCACGGATTTGGGGCACAGGGGGATGTTCACAGACGTTTCATCCAGGAAATTTTCACAGACATTGGTTGCCAGTCCTGAACTGCTTCTTCCCGAGCCTCTCCCCCCACCCTGGGACCACCTTTCAAGGGCTTTGCTTTGCAGAACCCAACACTAAACTGTGGCACCACATTCAAGCCACGATTCCCCTCTACAAAATCATAATGTTTCTGCTCAGGAGTGGATGCTCCTGAGCACAAATACCCACACAGGAGCTAATTTCAACCTCCATTTCAGTAAGAAAATCCAATTATAACGGTCTAGCAATTTGGAGACAAGCACTTGCAACCTTACTCAGCCAGAAAAGATTGAAGATGGATTTCTTCCCTTGCTGCAGAAAATACTTAGAAATAAAATTAAGCATTTCTCTGATGAATTAAACTGGTTTAAGGTTTAATCAATAGCTACTTCAAATTAGAGCTGGCACTGATTAAAATCTTCGAGCTGGCCATTCCCAACAGGACTTGGGCAGTCAAGGGGGGACAACTCTGGACATAATGGGAGGGAAACTGAACTGTCTGTGTGACAAGTCCAGCAAGAGCAGGGGTTTTTTTATTTTATTTTCTTCTCCTCACCTTCCTTTGCCACAAAGAACATCCCAAAGCCTGCAGCAGAACCTGGCACTGATGAAGTGAGGGCAAACCTGGGCCCTCTGTGTGCCCATGCCAATAAAAATCAGCCTCTCTGTCACACACTAAACATGTTAACCATAAAATCATATCCTTCCTTAAGAGCAGACCATCATAAATTGGCTTTTGGAACAATTTGATACTCCCTAAAGACAGAGGATGCACAGAAAGCTTCTGTCTGAAGAGGAAAATGGGGAAATTATTTTTCTCAATGCTTTCTGTCCTTTCAGCAGAGAAGACAGAACTTCTTTTCATCAAGAAAATGCATTTAGACACATTTCCCTCAGTGTTAAACAGCCCTTTTCCCTCCAGCTGAGCATAACTGAGGAGAATATTCCTGTTCTCCTTCTGTTCTTTGCAGGAATTTAGGAATAAAATCCAGGCAAAAAGAGCATTAACCTTATGTAAAATCTCATGGGAACCCAGAGGATTTCATTTCCATCAAAGCATAATAAGCAAGACTTGAGCCAAGTGACAATTCAGTTTAAAAAGCCAAAGTAATGGGAGATTTTAGAAGACCTGATCACTTGTGTGTGAGTGATCAGCTTTGCTTTTATTTCTCTCAATTTTTATGGGTTATAAGCTGCTATACCTATAAATCTGACCATGGGATTTATAGAACAGGGGGAAAAAGATGAATTCCAATAAACTCAAGGTTTCTATAACAATTCTGTGGGGAAAAAAAATCCCACCTCTAAAAATTTCCTTCCAAAAGCATGAAGTTTGGATAACACTCCACACATGAAATGCCCTGTTATGCAAAGGTTTTCCTCTGCAAATTCCACTGCAGTGGACTTGCTGAAACTCTCCCTCAAGCTCTCCCACAGCCCCCAAGTCACCACACGAACTTCAGGCTTCCCTCACAAATCCTAAACTAATAAAATTAAAAATCAAAATCACCTCCAAAATACCCCTTCATTTCTTAAACTACTGCAAAAATCTTTTGACAGACGTTCCAGAAAACGTCTGTGGACCAAAGGAAAGGAGAGCCACATCCCACAGGTAGATTTTGGCACTGGCAGCATTTTCCCTTGATCAGCTTTAAAATGTCAATTTTTAACAGCTGACAGCAGAGCTCTGGAAATTTATAAAGCAGGCATTGCTGTTTTCATCTTCTGAAAAACTCAGGAATAAAGTTTTCTCTGAAGATTAAACGATTTAAATCATTCCAGGTGACAAGAGGCACAAGAGGGTGGTTTGTTATAGAAAAGGGAAGGCTCCAGGGAGAGCTGGAGAGGGACTGGGGACAAGGGATGGAGGGACAGGACACAGGGAATGGCTTTATAGTGGGAAAGGGGAGATTTAGATGGGATATTGGGAAGGAATTGCTGGCTGGGAGGGTGGGCAGGCCCTGGCACAGGTTGGGCAGAGAAGCTGTGGCTGCCCCTGGATCCCTGGGAGTGTCCAAGGCCAGGTTGGAGCACCCTGGGCTGGTGGAAGGTGTCCCTGCCCATGGCAGGGGGTGGGATGGGATGATCTTTAATGTCCCTCCCACCCCAGCCCCTCCCTGAGCCAACACTCACCCGTCCAGCCGCACGTCGGGCAGGCTGCGGTTGAGGGCGATGAGGTCGCTGGCCATCAGGTTGAACTGGTTGATCTTAAACAGCTCCTTCATCTTCTCCTGGTCGTCCTTGGGAATGAGCACGGCCTTTCCCATCTCTCCTGGCCCTTCCTGGTTCCGGGAAATGACGGCTGCAACACAAAACAGCAAGAGCTGCTTCCAGTGGGGTTTGTCCTGCGGGGCTCGGCAGGGTTTGCTGTTCGACAAGGAACGCTAAAAACCAATAAAAACCCCCATTTTCCCTGCTCCTTCCCCTGCTCCACTGGGAGCTTTGCTCTCCAGCCAGATCCCAATGTACATCTAGTTTTACCCTAAGATGATTAATCCCCCCCGATTTGTTCACCTGCAGCTCTTGGCTGTGATCACAACAACAATAAATGACAATTCCCAAGAGATTTCCACCAGGATCTCAGAGAACCTGCAGCCAGAAAAGGTTTGGAAATCACTTCTATGGACACTGGAAATACCTGAAGAACATATAATAATCTAATTTAAACCAATTCCTTCTATTTTTTATTCAGTTTTAATTCTCAGGCATGCAACAGCACAATCCCATCCTGGTAAATGATTAAACAATCTTCAGTGACAGAGAGGAAATTATAATATTCCAACCCTACAGAGGATCTTTTACATGTTATTAGGGATTATTTTAGGGAAATATTTGTATTTTGAATTTCAAGGAAAACCACAGTATCATCTCATGTAAGCACAGCAAAATAAACAAGATACATCCTGACAGCAGAAGGACAGAAAGGAAAAATCCCATGTGCAGAAATAATTACAATATTCCCTCCCAGTGGCGCTTTCAAACGGTTTGGGCTGTGAGACGAATTCTCCGAGATAAAATTCTGGTTTTCTAAAATAAATAAAATGTAATATTATTCTCTTACCGTTATTTAGGATTTTATATATTTATGTTGATTGTATTAATAAATAACAAGTTAATTATTTAATATTTATATATATATATATATATAAGTAATGGCCAGTCTTCGCAAACGAAGAAGGATAAAACCCGTGGCTGAGTGTGGATTCACCTCCTGACTCCCCCAGGTTTTGGGGGAGATCCCAGCCAGGCTGGGCCGTGGCAGGTGGGATGCACAGGGATGGATCCCCGTCCCTGCCTTTGAGCCCCTGCAGAGCTGCCCCGTTATTGGGGTCATTCGCGGCTCAAACCAAAGGGCAGGTCCTGCAGGCCAAGGATGAGGGAGGAAAACAAACATTTGGGGTGAGAAAACAACAAAAGCCCGGCAAGGCTCGTAAATCCTTGGATCTGCCCGCAGTTGCTGTGCGTGTCTGGGCAGCAGTCCCCAGGCAGTGCCTGTGCTGAATCGGTAAATAAATGGAAGGCTTCGCAATCTACTGAGCTTGGCTTTTCCTCCCTTCCTTTATCTCCAATTCCCCACTGCCCTCGGGACCTCGCACCGAGTCCTTTAGAGGGGCTGATTTCCCTTCCAAAGGAGCTCTGTCTGTGCTGACAGATGATGAAAAATGGCTGCAGGCAGAATGCTGGAAAAACAGCATTTCCATTCCTTGGGGGCACTCCTGGAGTCAGCTCCCTCATCCCACAGGACAGGCAGCGTGAGAGGAGCTGCTCGTCCCTGGCCTTGCTGGCTTTGGCGGATGGATTTGCTTTTAAATAATAAAAAGAGGCACTCTCCCAAAATATTTGCAATTCCCTTCAGCAAGTTCACGAGGAGAAGTGCTGAATCACTGCTCCTTGGTGCAACTACTATGTGAGTTCAGGAAAATGCCTCCCTGGAGAAGTGGGAAGTGTGTGCAGCTCCTCCTGGAATGGCACAGGGGGGACAGGGTGCACAGCTCCTTGCAGGGATCACTTTGGTTTCAAAACCACGAGAAAACGCCCCAGAAGAAGAGTCTGGCTGCAAAGTAAAACAGCCTTGTTAGCTTTGCTAGAAATGTACAGATTTCACATGATCCCAGACCGGTTTGGGTGGGAAGGGACCTTAAATCCCACCCAGTCCCACCCCCTGCCATGGGCAGGGACACCTTCCACTGTCCCAGGCTGCTCCAAGCCCCTCCAACCCGACCTTGGACACTTCCAGGGATCCAGGGGCAGCCACAGCTTCTCTGCCCAACCTGTGCCAGGGCCTGCCCACCCTCCCAAGCCAGGAATTCCTTCCCCAATAATTTGTTGCCATAAACTGCACACAGAATCCAATAAAGTCAAGGATCGATTTGCCATTTCCATGATGAATCTCTGCTGCTCAGAACCACACACAGACTTGTCTTAATCCAGAACATAAAGAATTCCAGTTTTAATTATACAGCAGCCATAAATCCTGCAAAGTTGTCATAAACATCATTAAATAGATCATTTACTTCGCAGTGTTTCTCAACATAAGAGTGCCAGGATTCCACAAAAAGAGTTGCTTTTCAATACTAAAATCATCAGCACTCGTAACTTCTGCCAGAAATCAGACATTTTTAGCGTTTCTGGTACACATGTTGTCTGGAGACAGCCCAGCCCACACTGCCTCTGCTCCCAGTAGCCTGGAGGCAGAACAGCTGAAGAGGTGTAAGGAGGTCTGGAGCGAGAGAATAAACTGAGCTGCAGAGTTCCAAAATAAAAAAGAAAATACCACACCCTTTGGGATGGATGGGAAATCTTTTTAGGGATAGGGGCTGGTGTTTCTAACAGAAGATCTGAAAGGAGGCATCTTCCCATCCAAAAAATGCAGCAACTCTTTATGCTTTAGTATAAAAATCAGGGATCCATAAATCTGTTTGTTCCTGGAGAGGGGCTGGGGGGGTGGGACATCCCCTGTGCTCCACAGCACATCCACGTGGCTGCCACGGAGGAGAGAGCTGGCAATTTGGGAAAGCATGAACTGAATTAATGGATGTGTTCTCATCATCATTATAGCACCCTGTGCTATGGGGGCAAAAGATTAAAAGACTTTAAATTAAACAAATTCGAAGGCATCAGCTCCACAAAGTACAGCAGCAAGGAACTACCACACCCAACAAGCAGGGTCATTGCTCCTGGTCCCCAAAAAGAACACGTTTAAGAACAAACATTTTTAGCACAAGGGCTGAAATATTGCCTGGAGCTGTGATATCCAGGGAATTCCACACAGGACAGGGAAATCACACACTAACAGGCTCAAACTGGGATTGGAAGGTTTCAGAACAGCAACAAAACACAGAGGTTGTCAATGAAATTCAAATTAATTTAGATATTTGTTTCATCAGGAGGGTAATATTTTCCTCCTCACAAGAGCCAGTAAGATTCCCAAGCATTCCTTAAACTGCTCCTTAAGTTACCAGATTCTCACAGCTCCTCTTGCAGCGCTCAACCCAAACCAGGGGAACCTCAAAAGGCAAACTGGAATGGTGTTCCCTGGATCACAGTCCTTCAAAAAAAAATTAATTTAATCCCATTTGTAAATCCCAATATCCCATCTGTCCCTGCCCTCTGGCAGTGGGAAGCCATTCCCTGTGTCCTGTCCCTCCATCCCTTGTCCCCAGTCCCTCTCCAGCTCTCCTGGAGCCCCTTTAGGCCCTGCCAGGGGCTCTCAGGTGTCCCTGGATCCTTCTCTTCTCCAGGTGAACCCCCCCAGCTGTCCCAGCCTGGCTCCAGAGCAGAGGGATCCAGCCCTGGCAGCATCTCCATGGCCTCCTCTGGATCTGCTCCAGCAGCTCCACGTCCTTCCTGACAAAAGAACAACGTGAAGGTTGAATTGCCAGAATGGCCTGATGAGAAAATAATAATAATAATAATCAAGGACATCAGGACCTCTCCTGCTGAAGACTCTCAGGTGCCTTTTGCAGACAGTGGAAGGATGGCCATTCCTAATATAAAATCATTGAAAAAAGGTAGCAATTTGGGAGTGGAGTTAATAGCTGAGCTCTTTGTAATATTGCAAGGTGGAATTAAAAGCTGCTGCCAGGATGGAGTGTAATTGCTGCTGGGAATTGTTGTACCAAGGGGACCTGCAAGAAGGGGCAGGATCAGGTGTTATGGGACAGTTTGGAGCTCCCAGCTCTGTGTTCTCACCTTCCCACTGCTTTTTATAGTCTGAATTTTGATACCATAGCTGTGGAAAAGGAAGGGAAAAAAACCTTCCTACACGATCCCACCCGGTTCTGTCATTTCTGATGGGGAACCAACTAATGAATGCCTGAAAATCCCCCCAAAACAAGCGGGTAACCCCCACTGGTGGCTCTCAATGTGTGCCCAGAAACACAGAAAGAAACCTCCAAACAGAAGAAAGAAACCTCAGACAAACAAACAGCAGAGTTTAGATCAATCTCCAGGCCAAGTTCACCTTCCAAATCACCCAGCAGTTCAGGTTTTATAGGATTAGTTTTCCAACTAAAGGATCCACGTTTATCACCCTCACTGGTGTCCCTGCCTGTGGCAGGGGGTGAAACTGGAGGGGCTTTAAGGTCCCTTCCCACCCAAACCACCCTGGGATTCTGGATTTTAGAACATTTAAATGATATTTTAATCATTTTTCATTATTCCTCGTGCCCTGGACCAGCACAACCAAACAATAAACCGAGGGAGGTTTAGCTCAGGGTTAATTTGAGGGGCACAACCTCCTTGTGGGTAAATAGTTTTTTCCCTGAGACTGACCCTGCCCTCATCCCATAACATTTAACACAGCATAAAACCTCTGACTTATTTGTGGTTCACAACTCTGAAGGGTTTTTTTTTTTGTTTTATCTTTTCTTTTAATACACCCTCAGAATGTCACAGCAACTTCTGCATCTGCAGAAAGTCCCAAACATTCCCTAAAGAAAATTATTTCAGGAATAACCATTTAATTAAAGCTGACATAAGCAGCAGTTTAAAGGCAGTCGAAGAAATCCCCACTGTAGCAGTGGCATAATGCTTTCCCTAAATACAATCATCTTCAAAGCCCCCCAAAAGTAGCAATTAACATATAAAAACTCACTTTGTGCGTTTTCTATAAGGAATATTTTACCTACAGGTAGACTCAGGAGTCCTAGAAATTGTCAACATACGGTGAAAAAATTAAAAATACTTGAACCACTGAAATAAAAGGAAAAAAAAAGAATATTTAAACCCCCAACCAAACAGAACTGTCACTCTGGGGGTTTTTGAGATGTATAGAAATGCCTCCAGCATCCTCCAAATGAAAGAACAAAGGGATTCTCGAAGAACAGCAAATATAATATATAAATATCAAGGCTTTTTACACAGCACATCTCTCAAGTCCATTGTCTTGTCGTGTAACATTTAAGGATTAGTGTCAACCCCTCAGGAGGGCTCAGATCCCTCCACAGTGAACACCCTGGATATGGAATCCTGCAGGAAAATCAACTCAGGGCTTGCCTGAAATGTTTATCCAAGACCCACATCTCTGCCCCTCCGAAGGGAACCAGAGCTCTGAGAAGTCAGAACCATCAAAAAAGCCACCAAAAAAAGCCTCTTCCTACCCCAGTTTTGCCCAATGGAGCTACTTTTGTCTTTCTCCTTCATGGAGCCAACTCCAAACCCCTCCACCCTGGCACACCCTGTGGATAACATCAGCCTGGAGAGCAGGGGAGGTTCAGGTTGGATATTAGGGATTATTTTCCATGGGAAGGGTTGCAAAGCTTAGAAGAGGCTGCCCAGGGCAGGGGTGGAGTCCCCCCATCCCTGGAGATGTTCACAAACACGTGGGTGTGGCACCCTGGGTACGTTCAGCCGAGACCCTGGTGTTGGATTCCAGGATCTGAAAGGGCTTTTCCAACCTTAACAATTCCCTGATCCCATAATTCGATGGCAGAAACATGTCCCAGTGACATCACATGTGTCCCAGCAGGGAGAACCACCCAGGCCCCCCAGTGCTTGACAAAACCAGCTACAAGCTCCACGGGGACACCTCAAGCACGTGACAAAAAGCACCTCCAGATGACCAAGAGACTCAAGACACCAAATCAGCCCTTGCCAAAGTCACAGCATGTCCCACTTGGAATTGTGGCTTCCACAGGGGAGCAAAAGGAGGCAAATTGCCATTTTATGAGGTTTAAAACTGGAAAAGTCAATGCAGTTAAATTTTAAGACCATCAGGAGTGGAACAAACTGCTGAACCCACGAGGACCAGGCCACAAAATGCTGTATTTAAACCCCTGATTTCCAGTGGAGGAGCAAAGAAGGGAGACTGGAGCTCCATAAAGGCTGAGAACAAGAGAATTCAACTTGGTTCAGTTATTCCCAAACCATGAAAGACTGGCAAGCTTTTACTACAAGGGGCTCTTATCACTTAATGGAGAAAGCCTTTTCTGACTGAAGTGTTATTTGTTTTTTTCAGATCTCAGCATCACACAGAGAACACTGGTCTGCTCACTCAGCACCTTGTGCAGAGCAGGATTATCTTGGTTCCTGGGACACCTCCAGCTGAGTTCCCTGGGATGGTTACACAGGATGTCCTGCCCGTGGGCTTTAAGGTCCCTTCCAACCCAGCCCATGCCATGATTCTATGGTTATGGAGATCTCCATGGTTGGGGGTTTGGGGGGTGGTTGGGGGGTCTTTCATGGTTCTGGGATTCATTTCTGTTGCTTGTCACAGTCCCCAAGCACTTTATTGGCCTCACAGGAGTCAGGACCCATCCCAAGCAGAGAATCTGAACCCCTGAGCAGCTCCATGAGACAAATCTGGGCAAAACAGCTGGAGAGGGACTGGGGACAAGGCATGGAGGGACAGGACACAGGGAATGGCTTCCCACTGCCAGAGGGCAGGGACAGATGGGAGATTGGGAAGGAATTGCTGGCTGGGAGGGTGGGCAGGCCCTGGCACAGGTTGGGCAGAGAAGCTGTGGCTGCCCCTGGATCCCTGGGAGTGTCCAAGGCCAGGCTGGAGCAGCCTGGGCTGGTGGAAGGTGTCCCTGCCCATGGCAGGGGGTGGCACTGGACAATCCTGAATGTCCTTTCCAACCCAAACCAGTCTGGGATTCCACAATTTCCTAATTTGTCCGTTTGCACCAGAATTGCCAAACTAGTTGATCCTGGAATTCCTTCCAAGGGATGTATCTGGGTAACTGAGTTGAAAGTGGCCACTCCTCCGTGCTGATGACAGAGCAGGGCACTCCAGGCTGCTCTGGGGGGGTTCACCCCTGCAAAGCTCTGGGCAATAATCACTTTTCTCTCACTCAGCCAAAAACATTCCTTTTCCAAAGCACTCCTGCAGCTTTTTCTGCCCAGCCCTGGAGTGAGGAATTAGAAGAAAGGGCTATTCCTGTCCCAGCCTCACCCCAGGACTGATCCTCTCAGGATTCAAACCAGCCCAACACACACAGGAACTTATTCCAAACCCAGAGGGGGAGCAGGGGCTGGGACAGGTCATGGAGTCATGGAATGGCCTGGGTTGGAAGGGACCTTAAAGCCCATCTTGTCACACCCTCTTCCTTCCCAACAACAGACCAGGCTGGGTCTAGGACAGAACCTGCTGCACCAAAAATCCTCTGATTTCATCTAAAAAAAATTTACAAGGGAAGAGAAGGAAAGAAAACATTGGGAAGATACACCTGGAATTACAAGGGCAGGAGAGGAGCAGTTCTGGAGTTAAACACTTCCAACATTTCCAGCTTTAACGCAGTCCTGACAATAAAGTCATGAAATACAAGGCAAGAGGATGAATTTCCACACTACAGGATTGTATCATGCTTTAATTAAACCAAGAGTGAGAGGGAAAAAAAAAGCTCCAGATAAGGCAAGACAGACAATTAGGGAAGAGACCAATGCACAAGGAATAATTAATGGGATGTGCAAAATGAACTTGTGTCCAATCTGCAGGTGCTGCTCCTCTCAGCGTGGGGGTAAAACAGGGAAGGATATAAAGGATATCCATCTCCCCAGCTGCAGCATAACAGAGCACTCTGCTCTTTTAAATTAAAAAAAAAAAATCCAGGAAAAAAAAACTAGAGCAGGACAAGGAGGAAGAAAAATAACACTGAAAGGAGCTATTAAAAAAAAAATAATAATAATTAAAAAAAAAAAAAGAAGCTGGAATGAATGTTCATCTCTAAACCTGAAACTTTTTGTTGTATCCACTTATTAGAACAAGAACCTTATGCTTCACATCCCTCAATATTCCTAAAGGTTTTCCTGCTGCTTTCTAACCCGACACTTGTTTAAATGGATAAATGCTGGAAAGCACAGAATCCTGGAATGGTTTGGGATGGAAAGGACCTCAAAGCCCGTTCCTGATCTACCCACAGCACCCCCCACCAGCCCAGCTTGCTCCAAGCCCCATTCCAAAAGCAGGAAGGGACATCCCTGAAATCCAAGAAAACTTTAACATTGCTCTTTCCTACCAGCTCTGAGGGACAGATTTTCCTTTTCCTTGGAGAACGGCAAAGCTGTGACTTCACTTTAACCACAGAGCTACTGACAACATTTCAAAACA